GAACAAGTGACAGCTGCTTCAGGGCCGCGGCAAGTTATGCCGTATGCTAAGCATGCATGCTAGTGGATGACAATAACACGCCCGGCAAGACATGTGCACCTGGCACCTGGCAAGATCTCTCGTGATTGCCACTCCTCTAGCTGAGGTCATTACGGTGGTGCTGTGGTCAGCACATGGCACGGGCCCCCGGGAGCCGTGAAGCCTCTCGGCCGCTAATGGCCAGCGAGGTGGTCATAGTATCCTAAAGCTTTAAAAGGACGACACTTGTTGAAGCACATGGGTACTTGAAAGATTGTGCCCACCAAGTTTTTCAGGAGTGTGTAGAATGTTGTGATACCAAAATTAGTGTCAAGTGCAAGATATCCAGAAAACGCGGAATATTACCTCTTTTGCTGTTTGTTCTTACAAAATACCGCCAAAACGTTGAGGTTTGGACGTTGCCATATTGAAGCTGCCACCAAATTGTATTCCTCTCCCATTGCGCCCGTGTTAAGGCAAACACTGCACAATCATTGCATCATTAAAAGAGAACGCCTGACAAACAGTAAGATATAGCAAAGAACAGCATAGCAACTTTACAAAATACAGCGTAACAAAGTATAACATAAAATAACAAGCCGAAACTTTCTACATATTCGACGTGAAAACGCTGTTTTGTCCAGGCTTGAGGCCAGTAAGTGCCCCCGAGACAATAACCACACATTGTAACCCTGAGCTACGAGATAATCAAAAGCTCTCTTTAAACGTTACAGAACCTAAGCAGTCGAGAGTTCCCTAGAAGACCGTTGCAGGGCCAAAGCCGACCAGGAGCTAGCCGATATGTTTAGTCTGCGATTTCAGGTCGCAGACCAAACAGGCCTGCGCTTAGGAGCAAACAAGACTTGTCTTGATAAAAGTTTTCCCCCTTCCGAACACATGGAAGATAACGGCTACAATACCACCTATCCACGAAGCCCTGCCACTGATGCCGAGCAGCGATAGCGCGCTATCTGTCGGCAGCGTCTCCGCGAACAGTCCACTGCAGACAGACTGCGACAGCGGAGGGACGCACAGGCTGCACAGGCCAATCCGCACGTGCCCAGTACACCAGAGTTTCGGGCCGGCCCGTCTGGCGCGGCGCCGTGTCGCGTCCGCGGGCACAGCGCCGTTCTCGCCGTCTCCCGCCGACTTAAGCCGCGTCGCAGGGTCCGCCGGCTTGTGAAGGGCTGACGAACACATCCGGGCTTCCGCCAGCGCGGCAGGGGCAGCTTCGAACGACAGCCGATGTTGGTACGTCCCTCCGCCTCGGACGCATGCCGGGCACCTGGCGCGCCGCACTCCCGCGAGCGTTGCCCCGTCTGTCACGAGCGGTCCCGGTCAGCGCTCGCCAGCGCGCATCGGCGGGCAATTCTGCACCAACTGCCGGCCATTCATCACGGCCGTCCCGCTCTCCGGCGAGTGGGCACCACGGTGTGCGCGTGAGCGCGCGCTCCGTGCCGGCGGCCGCAAGCAGCGGAGGAGGCCGAGGACAACGCCGGAGTTACGACGACGCGGCGCTCCGGGCCGACAACAACACACTCAGCGTGTGCGCACGCGGCCAGTCACCACGCGCTGCCGCCCGGCCAGCAGCCAGCCAGACGCCACGCCGCTGTCCACGACGGAACAAGGCGGCCAGAAACCGGAGCCGGCGACGGTCTCGGTGTCGGCTTCCGCGGGACAGCACGGGACCGGCGACACGGCCGTTCTGTACACACCGCTGGGCGGTGTCGTGTCGCGTCCAGTGACCACGAGCGGCCGGCCGTCTCGTGTCGCCGCGGGCAGCTCGCCGCCGCTCAGGCGCCAGCCGCGGTCGGCAGCGGCGGACGAGGTGCGCGTCACGGTGACGAGGCGGCCATGCAAGGACGCGGCCAGCGGTGCGCAGGAGCGATCGGGGCACGTCTGCGATCAGGACCGGGCGGAATACCAATGGCGCGGAGGTTGCCGGGCCGGACTGCCTGTGCAGGCTAACGGACTCGCCGAACGGCTGAAGGTCGCAGCGAGAGTGGAGGACGACCGAGTTCGGCCACGTCGGCCGGCCAGCGGCTGGTAGTGCCCCCCGAGCACCCGCTGTTGAGGAAGACGCAGCCGGCCGGCCCGAGCAGCGATCCCGACCGCGAGCTCCGTGGCGCCCGCGCCATCAGCAGTCCGGAACGCCGCGCCCGGCGGCAGGACGCGGGTCCGCACACGGACCGCCCGACACGCCGATGCCCCGTTGCTGGCGGTGGACGGCCGGCCTGTACCTGGACAGACACCCACACCCACGGGCACCTGTGACACCCGAGGGAGGTGTCACACCTGTGACGCCACACAGGGAGGAGCGGGCCGCGTCGCGGTCAGGACCCTGGTCACACCCGGGGGAGGGGAGGGGGAGCGGGTCGCGCTGGTGGCAAGTACCCCTTCAGACCTGGCACTAAATACAGCGGAACGTCGACGCCCGAGCCGCATAACATCCACCGAAGTCGGTAATTGAAGGCGCCAAGTGGGATAATTTCACTTCCCACGCTCGCACTGCACCATAAATTCTCCGTAAATGTTTCAGCCATGATGGACTGTGACATAGCATGGACATGGACCAACTGCACGAGCTGGTGATACGGGACTGAGCAATACCAGCGGTGGACCCAACGTCTTCCGCTGCGGTGATGGATGTCATACTTGGATGTCATCAAAACTGAAAGAGCGGCAAAACTCCCTTCCAGAGGAGATAACCGTTTCATCGAGCAGTAAAACATCTAATGGAGTACAATAAAACATTTATTTTCAGACCGAATTAAGCGACACGGTAAGTCGTACCGCAGCAAGCTCACTCCTCATATTTCGTCACAATCCGAAATAGCGGACGCTGATCTTATTGTTAGAAGACTGCCCGTTTGGAGCTCACGAGAGCAGAGTTGCGGCGGCCGGGCGGACCCAACGGCTGCGGCCCGCACGACCCATTCTAGACTGCGCCTCCAGTACAGCTCTGATCGGGCCCCGACAGCAGCACGCGCCAGCCGGCGCGAGGCTCCCCGCGGACCCCCTGCCCGGCGCCGGGAGGCAGACAGACAGGGGGGGGGGGGGGGGCAAACACAGTGCCCGCCGGTGTCGGCCGGCGTCCCTCCGCCACCCGATCAATAGCGGTGTGAACAGGCCGCAGCCGAGCCGACCTGGAGCCGAACTCGGGCAGACCTGTGACCGAACTCGGGCAGACCTGGAGCCGAGCTCGGGCAAACCTGTGACCGAACTCGGGCCTGCCTGGAGCCGAACTCGGGCAGACCTGAAGCCGAATTCGGGCAGACCTGGAGCCGAACTCGGGCCGACCTGTGGCCGAACTCGGGCTGACCTGGAGCCGAGCTCGGGCAGACCTGTGACCGAACTCGGGCAGACCTGTGGCCGAACTCGGGAAGACCTGGAGCCGAACTCGGGCAGACCTGTGACCGAACTCGGGCCGACCTGGAGCCGAACTCGGGCAGACCTGAAGCCGAACTCGGGCAGACCTGTGGCCGAACTCGGGCCGACCTGGAGCCGAACTCGGGCAGACCTGTGACCGAACTCGGGCCGACCTGGAGCCGAACTCGGGCAGACCTGTGGCCGAACTCGGGCAGACCTGGAGCCGAACTCGGGAAGACCTGGAGCCGAACTCGGGCCGACCTGTGGCCGAACTCGGGCAGACCTGGAGCCGAACTCGGGCAGACCTGGAGCCGAACTCGGGCAGACCTGGAGCCGAACTCGGGCAGATCTGTGGCCGGCAAGTGTGCGTCCGACGAGCCGAGCACTTCGGCTCGCTAGACCTTGACGCTCAGGCGAGATTAGCCACGACGGGCTTTTTTACATTTGCCTGATGCTGCTTGCCTGCAGAGAACAGGGAGGGGAAACCCTAAGGGGAAAGTCGGAGGAAACCCTAAACACATGTAAGGATGGGGTCCAAAGGTGCCCCACGATCTTTGGCAAAAGCGTGCCTCAGGTCTCAGCAGAATGCCTCTAAGCCAAATATGAGGGTGCCCCCTGAGTCCGAGGGGAGTGGCGCCCCAAATATTGGCAGGGGGGGGGGGGGGGGCAAAGGCATAGCAGATAGGAGTCCGTGGCGAACACGAGAAATATCGCAGGACTACTAGCAGACGGCAGACCCAAGCCCAAGCACATGTACTCTCCAAGCCCCAGTGGAAAGGTGCCTCAAATCCAAGTGGAGGGGCGCGGCAGACATAAACGGAGGCGCACCCCAGAGTCTAGAGGGGCACACGCGTAAAAAGATGGAAGCAACCGACGGGTATGTAAATGGGTGCCAAAGTCTAGGCAGAGGGATGCCCAGAAACAAACGCCCCAATATGCACAAACATACAAACCAAAGAGGGAGCGCCACACAAACACATCGAACAGGAGCACCCCTATTTTTTCTGTTATATAAAGTGCAGGATCATCTTAAGCGCAGGCCTTGCTGAGCGGCGTTCTAAGCCGCGCTCGAGTGGCGCCCGCCCCCCTCCCCCCCAGATGATAGACAGCCTAAAGCCTAAGTAGAGAAAAGCTCCGAGCGGAGGTCGAGGGCGGCACCAACTCAGGCAAAGGGCGCCTTTGTGCCTTCGCTATGGGAGGTGAATGCCCAGACAGCTAAAACAGGGAAGCCGTCAAGCAGAGGACAGGATGGGCCGGCGATAACGGGTTTGAGATTCAAGGCAAAATACTTTTATCAAAGGTGAATGACTATTGCCTAGGCATCTTAATGGTTTGGTACGGGTATCCATGGACCAAGCCAGAGGAGCTACACAATAGGCAAAGTGATGCGTCCCGCTTTCTGGGTGAGGGTCTGGCAGGAACGTAATATGGCGGCAAATTACGACACTGTTGCAAGTAGATCAATCTCTACCCGAAAATCTCGCACCCCATCCAAGACAAAGTATTTTCATTATTATTCATACCATTCATCGGGGTTCAGGCCAACGCAGCCTCATGACAGGGAACGCGCTCTGCTCATCGCGAGCAGCGGCAGGATCTCGAGCAGCACGTACCTGACCGCGACCCGGACGCTGGACTCGTCGGCCATGGCCGGCAGCAGACGGACAACCTGCGGAGGACGGCCAAGTCAGGACAGCAGCATACTCGAACAGGGCAGAGCCTAGGGCGCCAGCGAGGCCGGGCTTGGCAGTCGCATCGGTGGACACGTGTTGGTCGCTAATGCAGAGTCTAGGGAACCAACGGGGCCCGGTTTGGCAGCCGCATCGGTGGACATGTGTTGGTCACTAATGCAGAATCTAGGGAACCAACGGGACCCGGTTTGGCAGCCGCATCGGTGGACACGTGTTCGTCACTAACGCAGAATCTAGGGAACCAACGGGGCCCGGCTTGGCAGCCGCATCGGTGGACATGTGTTGGTCACGAATGCAGAATCTAGGGAACCAACGGGGCCCGGTTTGGCAGCCGCATCGGTGGACACGTGTTCGTCACTAATGCAGAATCTAGGGAACCAACGGGGCCCGGTTTGGCAGCCGCATCGGTGGACACGTGTTGGTCACTAGGCAGGATCTAGGGTGCAGGTGTTGCCGGCCCTGGCAGCCACATCGCTGGGTACTGGCTGGTTGCTGTCACAGCGGAATAACAAGTGGACTGGACAGGCAAATATTGAATCCCGCAAAAATACAGCCTGCGCGAGCGCTTCGCACATGTCCGAGCGTGCTGTTAGCCCAAACGATTGCTCTTCACTGGCACAAGAGGGCCACAGGCCCTCATACTACGACCCCCGCCCACTCCGATGCCCTCTTGCGAATCCGCCGGGCGTTTACGTCAAATTAGAGGTGGATAATTACCCCAGCATCGCCCAAGGGTGCAATCACATTCGGATTTAGGAGAAGACAGCACTTACCGGGTGTCGCGCAAATTAACCGAAATGGGATATACGAATACGGTAAATATCGCGTTTACCCACGAATCCTCAAAGCAGGGTTCGCCGCGGGGATGTAGGGTGGAACAAATACCGTCTTCTTCGGTATGAAGCATTACACCATTTGCGTAACATACAATGAAACAAAATAAGAAAAACTTTGATGGCTCCTACCCCCGGTTTTCTGCCCGTATAGAAGCGCATACATTTTGAGGTTTGCGGTCACAGTCTAGGCAGACAGACTCCAACCAATGCACAAAATTATACGCACCTTTTGAAAAAGACAATTTCCCCAGCAAAGAGGATGGATGTCACTAAATCAAACACATCAATCCATGAGCAGCACTAAATAAGTTCACGAGCGAGGCAAGCGCACCCCCACTCCCCGGCGCTCGGGCTCTTACTGTGGTAGCATTCTCAAACGGGCCCTGAACTCTGCTGCCATATCACTTTATGAAGGCTATGACCAAAAAACTCGAATTTGCGGCGTCCGTTTTCCCTGCGTCGACGATGGCTGGCCAGGTGTTGAACGGCTCTAAGGGGGGCAAGATTGCTGCGATATTTGACTCCATGGAGTATGGTCCTGCCCCTGAATCGGATAAAACCGCCAAGGTATGTGCATTCTTTTGTTCCCAGCATTCGCTATTGGTTGTGGGTGGTAAAGTAGATACGTCGGAATCATGCGACGTATGCGCAGGTTTTGTCGCTTGCAGCCGCATGGCTCCTGCTTCGATTTGGAATTTGTATTGGCTGTGGGCAAACACGATTTTAGGGATGTGTTTGCCCTTCATCTCTTTTGATGTACCTTGCTGTATTTTTATGAATACTCCAATTAGCACTGCCTGCCCGGTGAGCGTCCTATGCACCCAATGTGGGGGTATTCTTCAAGTACTTCACCTTTTTTAGAAGAAGAAAAATCTCCACCGCGAGCGTTTTACGCGCAGTGCGGCACGGGCTCAACCAGCTCGCGTTAGCAGGATTGCCCGACTTTGAAATCATACAATCCAAACGACATCTTTAGCACCAAAAGTAATGAGCAGGCAGTTAACATCATTCACTACGTCGTTTCGACCACTGCTACTCACAATGCTTGCATGATTGCCTATCATCTTCAAGAAATAACCATCTGATAATATAATAATTTCGGCAACAAACAGGTCATATGATTTTTAACACGCAGACAGCCGACGATTTATAGCATGTACTAAAAGGGCAATATAAGCACCAAATTACGTACATTCGAGCAATTAAGAAAAGTATCCCAGTTCTTCATGTTCGTGTCTCGAATTGATATTTCCAAACAGACAGCACAGAGAAAAACCCAACAATGTCGGCGGAACTGAAGCATTTCCAGCAGTCTTTAAAAACGGACCAAGCCACGGGAACCAAACACCGAAGCCAAGCCAACGTTTTCGGTACGGTACATTGACGTCTATTAGCGCAGTGCATCTCATACACGAGTCCGGATAATGTGATTCACACTTATTAGGACCAAACACATCGTGACGACATTGTCGCTTAAACTACAACACTTGGATTCAATTAATATGACTACTCCGTTTGCCGTGACATGCTGCCATCATGTCGTGCAGAGGGACTGTCGTACCCTCTTAAAGTAGTGCACCTCCTGTACAATTCCAACGAGCAAGGCTTGAAATCGCTCTGACATCCAGAGACATACTCTGCCGAGATGATATGCCAACAGCCACCCTAAGGAAACGGATCAAGCCTCGGGAAACGAAGACTGAAGCAAGGCCAGCGTTTTCGGTACGGTACATATACGTCTGTTAGCGTAGTGCACCTCACACACGAGTCCGGATAATGCGATTCACACCCTTAGAACTGAACACGTCGTGCTGACAATGTCGATGGAACTGCAAGACTTCGGTCCGATGAATAAGACTCATGCATTGCCGTGAGATGCTGCAATCATGTCGTGCAGAGGGACTGTCGTAGCACCCTCTTAAAGTAGTGCACCTCTTGTACAATTCCAACGAGCAAGGCTTGAAATCGCTCTGACATCCAGAGACATACTCTGCCGAGATATTATGCCAACAGCCACCCTAAGGAAACGGATCAAGCCCCGGGAAACGAAGACTGAAGCAAGGCCAGCGTTTCGGTACGGTACATATACGTCTATTAGCGTAGTGCACCTTACACACGAGTCCGGATCATGCGATTCACACTTATTAGGACCAAACACATCTTGCTGACGATGTCGGTGGATATGCCAGACCACGGTCCGATGAATAAGACTCATGCATTGCCGTCAGATGTTGCTATCATTGGCGGACGGACTGCAGTAGCACCCTCTTCAAGTAGTACACCTCTGGTATAATTCCAATTGGCGGGACCTAAAAACCGCTCTGACATCCAAAGACATACTCTACCGAGATAATATGCCAATAAAAATCCTAAGGATACGGACCAAGCCTTGGAACCGAAGACTGAAGCTAGGCCAGCTTTTTCGGTACGGCACATATGCGTCTATTAGCGTAGTGCACCTCATGCACGAGTCCGGATCAGGCGATTCACACTTCTGGAAATTAAACACATCGTGCTGACAATGACGGTGGAACTGCGAGACTTCGGTCCGATGAATAAGACTGATGCATTGCCGTGAGATGCTGCCATCATGTGCGGACAGGCTGTAGTAGCACCCTCTTAAAGTAGTACACCTCTTGTATAATTCCGATTGGCGAGACCTAAAAACCACTCTGAAAGGCAAAGACACACCCCGCCGAGAAAACATCCCGACACGAACCCTGAGGAACAAAGCCAAGCCCCGGGAACCGAGGACCGAAACAAAGGCAACGGTTTAGGTACGGTACATATACGTTTAGTCGTGCGGTGCACCTGAAACAAGAGCCCTTACAACGCGATTCACACTAAATAGAAATAAACACATTGTGCCGACAATGTCGGTTGAGCTGCAATGGTTTGATTCAATGAATAAGACTTATGCACTGTCGTGGGATGTCACCATCATGTGCGGACAGACTGTAGTAGCACCTTCTTAAAGTAGTGCGCCTCTTGCATAATTCGTTGACGAGACCTAAAAACGGCTTTGTCATCCAAAGACACACTGTACCGAAATAACGTGTCAACAGCTATTCTAAGGGAACGGACCAAGCCCCGGAAACCGAAGACCGAAGCGAGACCAACGTTTTCGGTACGGTACATATATATTTATAAGCGCAGCGTACCTTATACCATCGTCAGCAAGATGTGTTTAGTCCTAATAAGTGTGAATCGCATGATCCGGACTCGTGTGTGAGGTGCACTACGCTAACAGACGTATATGTACCGTACCGAAAACGCTGGCCTTGCTTCAGTCTTCGTTTCCCGGGGCTTGGTCCGTTTGCTTAGCGTGGCTGTTGGCATATTATCTCGGCAGAGTACGTCTTTGGATGTCAGAGTGGTTTCTAGGTCTCGCCAATTGGAATTATACGAGAGGTGTACTACTTGAAGAGGGTGCTACTGCAGTCCGTCCGCCAATGATGGCAACATCTGACGGCAATGCATGAGTCTTATTCATCGGACCGAAGTCTTGCACATCCACCGACATCATCAGCAAGATGTGTTTGGTCCTAATAAGTGTGAATCGCATGATCCGGACTCGTGTATGAGGTGCACTACGCTAACAGACGTATATGTACCGTACCGAAAACGCTGGCCTTGCTTCAGTCTTCGTTTCCCGGGGCTTGGTCCGTTTTCTTAGGGTGGCTGTTGGCATATCATCTCGGCAGAGTATGTCTCTGGATGTCAGAGCGATTTCCGGCCTTGCTCGTTGGAATTGTACAAGAGGTGCACTACTTTAAGAGGGTGCTAAGACAGTCCCTCTGCACGACATGATGGCATCTCACGGCAATGCATGAGTCTTATTCATCGGACCGGCGTCTTGCATTTCCATTGACATTGTCAGCACGACGTGTTTAGTTCTAATAAGTGTGAATCGCATTGTCCGGGCTCGTGTGTGAGGTGCACTACGCTAACAGACGTATATGTACCGTACCAAAAATGCTGGCCTTGCTTCAGCCTTCGTTTCCCGGGGCTTGGTCCGTTTGCTTAGGGTGGCTGTTGGCATACTATCTTGGCAGAGTACGTCTTTGGATGTCAGGGCGGTTTCTAGGTCTCGCCAATTGGAATTATACAAGAGGTGTACTACTTGAAGAGTGTGCTACTGCGATCCGTCCGCCAATGACGGCAACATCTGACGATAATGCATGAGTCTTATTCATCGGACCAAAGTCTTTCATATCCACCGACATCGTCAGCAAGATGTGTTTAGTCCTAATAAGTGTGAATCGCATGATCCGGACTCGCGTGAGGTGCACTACGCTAACAGACGTATATGTACCGTACCGAAAACGCTGGCCTTGCTTCAGTCTTCGTTTCCCGGGGCTTGGTCCGTTTGCTTAGCGTGGCTGTTGGCATATTATCTCGGCAGAGAACGTCTTTGGATGTCAGAGTGGTTTCTAGGTCTCGCCAATTGGAATTATACCAGAGGTGTACTACTTGAAGAGGGTGCTACTGCAGTCCGTCCGCTAATGATGGCAACATCTGACGGCAATGCATGAGTCTTATTCATCGGACCGTGGTCTGGCATACCCACCGACATCGTCAGCAAGATGTGTTTGGTCCTAATAAGTGTGGATCGCATGATCCGGACTCGTATATAAGGTGCACTACGCTAATAGACGTATATGTACCGTACCGAAAACGCTGGCCCTGCTTCAGTCCTCGTTTCCCGGGGTGTGATCCGTTTCCTTAGGGTGGCTGTTGGCATAATATCTCGGCAGAGTATGTCTCTTGATGTCAGAGCGATTTCAAGCCTTGCTCGTTGGAATTGTGCAGGAGGTGCACTACTTTAAGAGGGTGCTACGACAGTCTCTCTGCACATGATTGCAGCATCTCACGGCAATGCATGAGTCTTATTCATCGGACCGAAGTCTTGCAGTTCCATCGACATTGTCAGCACGGCGTGTTCAGTTCTAAAGGTGTGAATTGCATTATCCGGACTCATGTGTGAGGTGCACTACGCTAACAGACGTATATGTACCGTACCGAAAACGCTGGCCTTGCTTCAGTCTTCGTTTCCCGAGGCTTGATCCGTTTCCTTAGGGTGGCTGTTGGCATATTATCTCGGCAGAGTATGTCTCTAGATTTCAGAGCGATTTCAAGCCTTGCTCGTTGGAATTGTACAGGAGGTGCACTACTTTAAGAGGGTACTACGACAGTCCCTCTGCACATGATTGCAGCATGTCACGGCAACGGAGTAGTCATATTAATTGAACCCAAGTGTTGTAGTTTAAGCGACAATGTCGTCACGATGTGTTGACTGCTGGAAATGCTTCAGTTCCGCCGACATTGTTGGGTTTTTCTCTGTGCTGTCTGTTTGGAAACATCAATTCGAGACACGAATATGAAGGACTGAGATGCTTTTCTTGATTGCTCGAATGTACGTAATTTGGTGCTTATATTGCCCTTTTAGTACATGCTATAAATCGTCGGCTGTCTGCGTGTTAAAAATCATATGACCTGTTTGTGGCCGAAATTATTATATTATCAGATGGTTATTTCTTGAAGATGATAGGCAATCATGCGAGCATTGTGAGTAGCAGTGGTCGAAACGACGTAGTGAATGATGTTAACTGCCTGCTCATTACTTTTGGTGCTAAAGATGTCGTTTGGATTGTATGATTTCAAAGTCGGGCAATCCTGCTAACGCGAGCTGGTTGAGCCCGTGCCGCATTGCGCGTAAAACGCTCGCGGTGGAGATTTTTCTTCTTCTAAAAAAGGTGAAGTACTTGAAGAAAACCAATGTGGGCTCATCTTTTACTATATGTAACACAGGAGCTAACTTATATGTAAGTTCATCTATTTTGAAGGTGGCATCAGGAATTTAAAAGCTGTGGGCGGAATGCAAAATAAATTTGAAAAATCTGGTGTATTATACCATCAAAAATATTTGCAATGATATCCTCAACCAGGCTGAATGAGAATATCACTGGGCTTGCCACTTTCAAAATTGAGCAAACAGTGGTGGTAATGTCTAGTTGCAAGGACATGGGACAGCCTCCCAATCTCTGTAGATATTTTATGCAAACATTGGAAGTTAACAATTTGAATACCCCATTTACCCAAGGATCTGCTGGTAATAACAGCAATTCATTGGCTTTGGGTGATTTGTTTTGATATTTAAGCTATGGCAATATTAATTTTGATTGTAGCAGTATTAGACTATTGGATTATTCCTGGAAATTCTGACAAATATTCCAGAATATTGTGGGATATCAAAATAATCCTGTCAAAAAATGTAAGTATCAGGGATTAGGTAATGTTTGAACCAGGGTTGGTGGTCTGCAACTAGACTGCAAACATTGCAGAGTGCTTGATATGCTTGGCATGACAGTTATATCACTGTAATAATTTCAGCATGTTTATAGTGTAAATTTGAGGATGCAGAGTTTTGTGCATAGTCACCAATGATCTCACCGCATAGACATCCAATGTGTCAGGGAATAATTATGCCAAGAAAAATTTAGGCAAACATGCTCCAAGAATATTTTTCATGAAAAAATAGCTGAAGGTTCAGGTCAGTTTGGCTTGGCCTGAGTTCTACACATGCAAGCTCTGGGTTCAGCACACTAATTTCTTGTAGGCATCTGGTGCAGTGATAGGATTTTCTTTCCAGACTGGGTGTGGGGCAGATTATACTGATACAAAATATAACCTTGGGTGTCATGGGCAGGTGAAGACCAAGGCTAAATGATGAAATATATTTTCCAGTTACTTAAAGGATTAAGAAAATAGGCAGCTGTGGGATTCATTTCTTTTCACAAAGTGATGGGAGTGAGGGGTAAGCCAGTAGTGGAGTGCCATATAGCATAACATGTGAGTGCATAAATTCAGCTTGCATGCATCTAGCTGCCAGCCATCAACTGGTATTGCTCCACTTCATAACTAATTCTTATCAAGCTACAAAGTTGTGTTCAACCCAGATCAAGTACTTGGTATGAAATATCTGTTTTATATGGACAATGAATGCCACACCTGTATTACATTGAGACTATAGTAGATGGCAGAAGCACTGCCCAGTTTGGATCTGCCTATAAATTGTTATGGAACTTGTTATGACCTTATGATTACAATTATGTAAAGAATATACAAATGACCAGGTATTTTCATATAATGAGACATGCTCATTGAGCTGAAGGCAGTATTTCCGAACTCAGATTGGGCGTTAAGTTTTTGGATCCGGACTCATGCCTGTCATGATGGAGCCCTCAGCAGTCCTACGCATCAACTGTGGGCATATTAGTAGTGCATGCCTGTTTTTGCCGCAGCCAGACTGCCTATGTCAAAATGCTAAATAGATATAATGTATTTCTTGCTCCCATTTCCTGCCACTGAAATCCACAATATGGCTGTCAGTATTTCATATTACCTGACATATCACCCCGATTTCCTGCCACAAAACTCTTGTCATCTTTGTCATGACATGCATGTTACATGTTGTCAACAGCTGTGGCTGGACGAGCACAAAGGGGACCTAGGCCACTTCATCAACAATGAGTGGGTGCGGCCTGCGGAGCGCAAGACGTACGAAACACGGAACCCCTGCACGGGCGAGGTGCTGGCCTCGACGGTGCAGGGCACGCAGGAGGACGTGAATCTGGCCGTCGGCGCCGCCAGAAAGGCATTCCTGCCCTGGAGTCAGCTGAGCGGGCACGCCCGAGCCCGCCACCTGTACAGGTCAGTGGGCGGCAGGCGCAGCACAGGGCGCCACCTGTTTGCATAGGGTTTGAGCTCCATAGCTTAGCCGTCGTTTTAGGCTCTTATCAACCTGCTACAAGCGGGCCAAGGCTGCTGGGTGTTTCATCAGGATGCTATTTGAATGTACAATGGAATGTTCACTTCACTCCCAAACGGAAAATTGTATGGCAGCATGAGAAAAAAACAAAAGGCTACCACGAAGCTAGGCTTGTACATGTTCAGGCGAACTGTATGATAGCATATGACGTATGCATATATGTAAGTGGAATGTAAATACGTGCAGCCGAGAGGTTACAATATCTGTGAGTCCATTTCCCTTGAGATCGTGGAGCGGCGAGTGTGTGTGAGGCCCAGTAGCCTGCCGGCCGGACGCCAGACCGCAGGAGGTCGGAGGGCGGGGCGGCGGCGGCTGTTCCGCGCCGTGACGCTGAGCGCCGGCCGTGCCGCAGCGTCGCGCGCCACCTGCAGAAGCACGCGCGCCTCATGGCCGTGCTGGCCTCCATGGACAACGGCAAGACGATCCGCGAGACGCGCGACTGCGACGTGCCGATCGTGATCCGCCACCTGTACCACCACGCCGGCTGGGCGCAGCTGGCCGACACGGAGATGGCCCACTGGAAACCGCTCGGTGAGTGCACGCCGTTCGGCGGCGAGGGCCGGTGGCCGGTGTCGGGGTCTGCCATCGGCCTGGTGTCGGTCCGTTTGGCGGAGTGGCCTGCTCGGCGTGCTGGGCTCGAGGCGGGCGATGGGACAGTGGTTGGCATGGGTTCGTCAGAAATCGCCAGGTTTTGTCGGACGTGAGGCATTTCTTTGGGGTCGTCCGTTCGCTCTGTTGTTTGTAGCACAGTGCCAGCACAGCCTCTTTTTCTTACAAAGTGTCCGTCAGCAATGGGAAGCCTCCGCTGTTTTCGGCAGCTTTCTGTTTTCGCTAGTCCCAAGATGCTGCTACCGCTGCAATGCTGTTTTCATAGTCCCAGTATTTGCCCAACTGGTGCCTCATGTGTCAGGCCTCATTGGTGCCTCATGTGGCATTAGCACTTGCCATACATACTCTGAAATACGTCGCTGGTGTGCCGCGCAAGCTCTTCCACGCGATATGGTCATACCAGGCTGTGACCGCTGTCTCAACCGCGGTCCTTTGCGCCAGGCGTCGTGGGAGCGATCGTGCCATGGAACTTCCCCCTGATGCTGCTGGCCTGGAAGGTGTGCCCGGCCCTGGCTATGGGCAACACGGTGGTGCTGAAGCCGGCCACCTACACCCGCCTGTCGGCGCTGCTGTTCGCCGAGATCTGCGCCGAGGCCGGGTGAGCAGGCCGTCGGACGGGCCGGTCTCACCGGCGCATGGCACGCGTAATGGTGTGAGTGTCGAGCTGGATCTAGCTGTGTTATGCCTGCTCTGCTGAGACCTACGGGTTATACCGCCGCAGCCGTGCCACGGCCGGTCGGTGTGAGCTGGAAGCCCCCGGGCGTGCCGAACCGCTGAGCGGCCCATGGACGTACCCAGCCGCTGAGAGGTCCGTTCCGTGACGGCGGACCTGGTGAGCGTCTCGCGCCGCCGCGCCGTCTGACCGGCCGGCCGGCCGCCAGCCTGCCGCCAGGCGTCTTCAACGTGGTGACGGGGCCCGGCTCAATGGGTGAGAAGCTGGCCACGCACCCGGACGTGGACAAGGTGGGCTTCACGGGCTCCACCGAGATCGGGCAGAGACTGCGCCGCGCCACCGCCGGCATGGGCAAGAAGCTGTCGCTCGGTGAGACTCTACGGACGTCGGACGCAGGTCTGCGTCCGTGGCGAACTTGGCACAAGTGTTGCATGGGGAACAGCATGAGTAGGGTTAATGTTGGATGATAGCACGCACCTCATTGTTCAAGGTCTGCCGCTTTGGATGTTATGTTCTTGACCGAAAGTGTTGTCTGGATGAAAACTGGTGTTTGGGAAATCTATTGCACAGAAGATAGGTATGGCATCTCCGGCCTAATTGGTAACGGACAGTGCGGAACTGTTCGCCACCTGCGTTCTCTTACCTGACTCATCCTTTACCAGTGAGCATCCATTGCCCGTCAGAGTTTCTTTTCACAGAAAGTGAGCGCATTATTTTTTTTGGTCTGCTCGTTGTTGTGTCGTGCTTTAACCCCATGCTATGTGTTATGCTTTGACCCCATGCTAATGACCCATCTTGTGATATCGGGTCAGCCCTTTTTTGTATTATAAGCGCCAAATAATTGCTTCATTTTTCCCTGTACACTTTCGATTCGTGTTGGGCTTGGGCCTTCAACTCGTGGCAATTTTAGTTTTGTCCTATCCTCAATGGTATGATATTGTATTTATCTCTTGGAAATGGTTCCCTCTCCTGCACTTTTTATGTTTAAGTATTTAAAAAAATATTTACACCTGAATTGCTCTTAACACTGCCCAAACCCGGACCGGACCTTTATCGAGCGCATCTTACCCGAACTCCACACGTTTCACGGGCTAACATGTGGGACGATTTAAATCACTCAATAGAGGTGCTTCTAGATACAAGAGATAAGAGAAGTAGTAGATAATAACAGTCTCCCGTAGTTTTATACTATGCCTGTGCTGCAGCCAACTTGTGAAAGATAGCTTTTTGCCGGCAAGTTGGAGGAAATCGACAGATATTACGCTAGGACGCTGCTAAGCAAGGGAAAAACGATTGTGTTTTCTCGGAACCTGCGTCCTCCTTTCCGACTTTATTCGATAAGGTCGAAAAAAAATGAACTGGCCCACGTTATGGCGTACCGGAACAGCTGATCCGCGTGCACGCCATGATGTTTCAAAATATATGTGGCTGAGGTTGCAGTGCTGGGGTGGATGGAGCTCTGCTTTGGGATATTGGTGCGGATATTTCACCGAAGGATAGTCCCGATATGGTCCAGAATAGCCCCCGGCATGTCGGGGTGCTTTTGGCTTGGTTTGCGTGCGCTCGTCTCGTGTCCGGGTGCCGTGTGTGGGTGCTGTGACTCGTGTGCCCGGGGCGTGGGTGTGCCGTGCGCCGGGTGCCGTATGTGGGTGCTGTGACTCGTGTGCCCGGGGTGTGCCGTGCGCCGGGTGCCGCCGTGACGCCGTCACCGTCGGCCGGCAGAGCTGGGCGGCAAGAGTCCGGTGGTGGTCTACGACTCGGCTGACCTCGACTCGGCTGTGGAGGGCGTGGTCGACGCCATCTGGTTCAACCAGGGCCAGGTCTGTCGACATGGCGCCGGCCGCTGGCATGCCACCTGCTCTGACCCCCTCCCCCCCTTTGTTTGGTGCGATCGCTCGGGGCTGCGCCCCTGGTCAGGCGAAAGGCACTCGAGTCGCTGCCCGTGTCACCTGCGATGATCGTAAGCAAAGTACGGACGCTGCAACTAATCTGTTTTTTTCTGGTGCTGATGAAGTGGGGTTAGGTCTTTGCATGCGCCTGTGTGCAGCTTCTTGTCCCAATTTTGGCATGATAAATCTCGTCCAGAGCACGTGACTCCAGAGACGCTTCTGCCCCGTGTCTCTGCCCCAGTTTGTCTGCCGCGTGTTCACCATCTCCCATCGGACAGGTGTGCTCGGCGGGCTCCAAGCTGCTTGTCCAGGAGACCGTGTACGACAAGATGCTCTCCAAGGTGAAGGCGCGCATGCAGAAGCTGCGACTGGGTGACTCGCTGGACAAGGCGCTGGACATGGGCGCCATCGTCGACGAGGGTCAGCGGCGCAGTGTGGCCGCGTACGTGGACGGAGCTAAGGAGGAGGGCGCCGAGGTGAGGGTTTTTGCTGCTGTGTGGCAGCGTACGTGGACGGAGCCAAAGGGGAGGGCGCCGAGGTGAGGGTTGGCGCCGCTATGTGGCCGCGTACGTGGACGGGGCCAAGGAGGAGGGCACCGAGGTGAGCATGCCTTTCAGTCACCTTACCCTGTCCACCGAGGGGGTGATGGTTCTCCAGCCATTGTATTGGGTGGCCGTGGCCGCACTCCGACAGGACAGTCTGAGCTTGTCCCGTCACGCCACAGAGGTGGCGGTGGCTCGTCGCCCATGTCCTCTGCGCCCTGCCCGCGTGTGGTGCAGATATGTCGGTTGTCGGGCCTTACCTGTCTGTGGTGCCTGTGTGGTGCCGCTTGCTGGTGCAGACGTGTCGTTCGCTGACCCCCAACTGTGTTTCGTGTGGTGTTCCAGGCATTGCTTTGTCTGTATGTGGTGCGGTGGTTCAGCCACCGAGCCCTGTCCGGCTGTGGTGCGATGCCTCAATCACCTGGCTCTGTCCGGCTGTGGTGCGGTGGTTCAGCCACCGAGCCCTGTCCTGCTGTGGTACAGCGTTTTAGTTACCGAGCCCTGTCCGGCTGTGATGCAGGTGTTCCAGGTGGAGGCGCCGGCCGGCTGCTACTACCCGCCGACTCTGATCAGCGGCGTGCAGACCACGTCGCGCGTGGTCGTGGACGAGATCTTCGGCCCGGTGCTCGTGGCGCTGCCGTTCCGCACGGCCAAGGAGGCGCTGGCGCTCGCCAACAACACCATCTACGGCCTGGGCGGCAGCGTGTGGAGCGAACAGCTGCCGCTGGCGCTGGAGACGGCCAAGCATATCAACGTGAGGGAGAGCGAGGCCGGCCGCGGTGCCGGGCTCGATGAACGCTGCCGTGCTAGTGAGCTTGTTTGAGAAACGTCAAGGGAAATGTGCCATCTGTAGCTCCGAGGAGGTTGCCTGAGAATGTCACTTGGCCAGGCGGCAGCCGTTGTGTCAAACCAGGTGTCAACCGTGGCCGTGACCCGCCAGTCCCTGACCTCATGCCGCCCCCTCCCCCGGCCATGTTATGGCCATGCACGTCTCCTGCTGACGCCCCTCGGCCCTCAGGCGGGCTCCGTCTGGATCAACTGCCACAACTTGTTCGACGCGGCGACCGGTTTCGGCGGGTACCGCCAGTCGGGCTACGGCCGTGACGGTGGCAAGGAGGGCCTGTTCGAATACGTCAAGCCGCGCTGGATGGGCGACACCAAGCAGGCGGCGCCGGAGCTGGACCTGGCCGCGTTTGGTGTCCGCGACGAGCCGAGCGTGCCCGACATAGAGAGTGGACAGGTGAGCTGGGCAGTTGGGGGCGGTGTCGGGTGGACAGGTGAGCTGGGTGGGGGGCGCTGTCGGGCGGACACAGGACACTGGGTAGGGGGCGGTATCGAACGTACAGGTGAGCTGGGAGGCTGGGGCGCTGTCGGGCAGACAGGTGATTTGGACTGTTGGGGTTGCTGTCTGGTGGACAGGTGAGATGGGTAGGGGCGCTGTCCGGCGGGCAGGGGAAGCTGTCGGGCGGACACGGCACACTGGGTAGGAGGTGGTGTCGGGTGGACAGGAGAGCTGGGAAAGGATCACCGGCCTGTGTTTAGTCGAACTCTGGCGCTTTCTGGCGGAAGGGGCTGTGCAGGAGCTACTGTTTCCTGTGCAGATAAACTACCTGTAACAGGTACCGTCAATGTACACGAGAGAGATGAAATGTCAAGAGACATGGCCGCTGGTTACTTCGATCCTCCTTTGCATCCGGAACCTATTTTACTCAGTGCATCCGTGACAGAACCGTACCCTTGTCCGCGCTAACACCCACCCGTCGTCGCCGTCAGCACGTGGCGGCGATGTCGAACGGCATGCCGCGGGTAGACCGCACCTACAAGCTGTACTACGGCGGGGCGCAGAAGCGGCCCGACGGCAACTACAGCCGGATCGTGCACTCGGCCGCCGGCCAGCCGCTCGCCCAGGTGGCCGAGGCCAACCGCAAGGACGTGCGCAACGCTGTGGAGGCGGCGCACAAGGGCCAGCCCGGCTGGGCCAAACGCTCGGGCCACCAGCGCGCGCAGATCCTGTACTACGTGGCCGAGAACCTGGAGCTGCGGCGCGCCGAGTTTGCCGACACGCTGGTGGCCTCCACCGGAGCCAGCCGCGAGGAGGCCGAACGCGAGGTCAGTCAGGGGAGAGACTGGTGAGGCGGCCAGGGGGTTGGCTTATTCCCGATGGTGACCAATAGATTCCCAGAGTTCCATGGTGCGGTCTAGGCCAGTTCGCCTCTTGTCTTTTGTCCAGAAAGCGTCGCCAGTCCACCGCATGTCGATCGGGTCAATCCCATCAGCCGAGGTCAGCCATTCCCCAGGCCGCTTGGCTTCAACCCAGTCTGCCTCCCCCTCCCTTTGCGTACTGTGCCCAGTTCTGACTCCGCCGCTCCACCAGGTGACGCCGTCTGCCACTCTCCCCTCCGTTGATACACTGCGCCCCTGGTCCTGACTGCCGCTACTCGCCAGTTGAGCCCGTCTCCCCCCTCCACCTCCCCGACGGTGACCGTTCGGCAGGTGGCGCTTTGGCGACCCTGCCTCTGGCCGCCGCCCGGCCGCGACTGACACCCGCCCGCGGCCGCGCTCCGCAGGTGGATGCGTCCGTGGCGCGTCTGTTCCACTGGGCGGCGCTGGCCGACAAGTACGGCGGCGCCGTGCAGGAGACCCAGCTGTACGGCACGGTGCTGCGCCTGCACGAGCCCGTGGGCGTGGTAGCCGTGCTGGCGCCGCGCGCCGCGCCCCTGCTGTCGGCCGTCTCGCTGGTCGCCCCTTTGGTGGCGCGCGGCAACGCCGTGCTGCTCGTGCCGAGCCGCGACTACCCGCTGCCGGCGCTCGACCTGTACCAGGTGAGCGGGCTGCGGCGCTGCGGCGGTCCTGACGCCGGGCCGGCCGGCGACCCAGGTCACGCGCCGAGCCGAGCGGTTTCGGGTGGTGTCGTGAAGCTGACGCTGACTAGGGCAACAGGGAGCGGACGACCCTCCGAGGCCGGGAGCTGACTGCGTGTTTGAATATTGTCCGACGGCTGTGTCCCATGCTTGCCGGTGTAGGCGGTGCCGCTGATCCCTGCCGCTGTCTCCGGCCGCTGACCCCGGCCAGGCGAGCTGTCTGCCGCTGTTGTGTCTGATGCGCGTGTCCGGTGCGCACAGATCCTGGAGACGTCGGACGTGCCGGCCGGCGTGGTGAGCCTGCTCACCGGCAGCCGGCAGCACATGGCGCGCCACCTGACCGAGCACCAGGACGTGCAGGCCGTCTGGTGCCTGGCCGAGTGCGACCAGACGAGCCGCTTCGTCGAGCACACGTCGGCCGTCAACGTGAAGCGCACCTGGGTCAGCTGGGGACGCGCGCGCGACTGGTTCGACGCCGAGCAGGGCCAGGGCGAAGAGTTCCTCTACCACGCCACCCAGTGCAAGAGCGTGTGGCTCACCATGGGAGACATCTTCGCCAACTGAGCGCCGGACAGCGGACACCGTCGCCCGGCAGGGACGGAGGCGCCCGCCTCCCAGCAGGAGCGCGCGGAGAACGGACATTCAACTGGACAGGGCTGCGCACGCGCATCAGAAGACACGTTGCGGGCTGTTCAACGTTACAGGGATGCAAAGGGCGACTGCGTGTCCCAGTTTGCGTTGTGCCGGCAACAGCAGGGTTTACGGGACGGGTACACACGGAAGGTTTGCTGGCGGTGCCCTCTAATGATCATTAACCAGCTGGCGGTAAATACATATGGGCTGTTGTTTCAAACTAATTCGGGTGAGCTTAGAGCTGCTTACAATGGTGGCGGCTAGAGTGCTTTCATCGTGCAAGCTCTGTTAGCGCTTGTTGCATGTTACGGGCCCCGGTTGTGGGCGGGATATAGCCAACGGATTCTGACCTAATGCTGCTATTGTGGGGAGCTTGGGATGTAAGTTTTGTGCGGCGCTATACACATGCAGCAGGCATGTACTTCGTAACATTTATGATTTATGTACAGCAGACTTAATGACAACTGATCATTAGCGTCAGGCAAGTAAGTGCTGGGACCTTGCACATTCCGAAGAAGTGCCATATTCGTCGTTCGTCGCCACTAGATCTGTGCAATAGGTGTTCAGGTATTTTTCGCAGGATCAGCTGTTTTGCCGCTTTGTTCAATGGAAATGGAGCTGTTGATTTCAGGGTGTTGTACCGCATTTTTGCGTTTTTGTGCCATGTTTTGAGAGGGCGCAATTTTGTTTCTGGTATTTTCACAAAGTCCACATAACCGTGCCGTATCCAGGAGTGATGCCGCCGGGTTTGGGCAAGTTGATGGCTGTTTTGCTTTATAGCAAGCTGGGGTTTGTATACCAAGCGTAACGGGGTGATTAAAATAAATATGTTATCACCACGCTGTGGTTTGGCCTGGCTGACAGCAGATGCGCCCAAGTGTAGTGCTGAGCTCATCGGCGGCTTCAACAGACCGACGTCGTTCTTTGACACGCGCGTGTGTGTACGCCGTCCGCAGGGCCCTCTGCTGCAACATCAACTCCGTACCGGGGAGCGCATGTCCGCGTCGAACACCGACTGCACAGTCAGCTTTATTACACAGACGTGCAGGCGTTGGCCCGTGCAGGGGTGACGTGGTTACATACCCGGCAGTGTTATCCTGGCGCTCACGAACGTTCCGCCTGCCAGCGCTTCACGAGATCGGCGCGCGGCCTTGGGTACGTGACACTTCACGACTAATGGGCAGCGAACGAATGTGGGCTGTAGCTTTCACATGTGCGCGTAGCTGTGTGAATGCAGATGAAAGTAGTACGAGTGTTCGTGTGGTTGCATACCCGGATGCTAATTAGGAGAGGCAGGCACGTCACAAAGCACATACGCTCGTGTGACACGCTACAGCATCGATAGATTGATAGAGTAGCTTTGCCCGGCATGTAATGAGACCTTCGGTGCCAAAGGAGCAGCTTCTTCCCGGCAGTACCCGTGACAACGCAGACATCAAACACCTATCTAACGTGACTTCTTCTGTGAGCCTCATCCGTGTTCCACGTGTTGAGCCATTCATGGGACGGTTCACCAAAGGCGTGCAACACGACCTCGAAAGCAGTCTCTCGAAACACCGAGTCGGTCCCGGGGCTTCTTAAGGCAGTACACGGTACGACATCGGGGTTACAATCGCATGCTACCCGATGGCTACTTCTTGTGACGCGTTGCCCCCTCCCCTCCTTGTCGTTTTCGAACGTCATTGAACGAGTCCGGCATCCCAGTGGTGCGCAGAAGTTCACGTTCGCATTGTCCAACTGAAGGAGCGCATGTTCCCACAAGGGAACATGTGCAGCAACATGAACATGATCATGCGCCGCAAGCAGACTGCTGATCCGCGGCAGGAGGTCCTCTCACCAGCGCGGTAGGGGGGACCGTGGGCCGGGCTCCCCACCGCCCAGCCGGAGGATCGCCTACTGTTGACCGGGACTCCCCGCCGCCCAGCCAGAAGATCGCCTTCTATGGACCGGACGCCCTGCCGCCGCTGGACCGGCGGCGGTGTGCGCTGCGCGGGCCCCGCTCCAGCTGGCTGGTGGGCACTGGCAAGCTCTAGCGCGTCGCCCAGCGTCCTCGTCCTGTGCGTCGACAGACACCTCGAGCCGCGTGGCCACCTGCCGCAGCAGGTGGTGCACCGAGTCGATAGTGCGCGACGCCTCCTTCAGGCGCCGCTTCAGCTTGTCCAGCTCCTCCTGTTGCTGGCTCTGCTCGGCGACAACCGCCTCCTCCAGGTGGTCTGGCGGTGACAGCGGCGTCACGCAGGGGGAGAGCAGCGAGCGTGAAAAGCTCAGGCCGTGCCAGAGAGACAGGGGCCGACTGCCAAACAACTGCAGAGGCACCAGAAAGCTCGCATTGCCAGACGGGCATGTTATACTGCTATATTGTTATGTATATATATATATATATATATATATATATATATATATATATATATATATATATATATATATATATACGTTATACTGTCGGGCAACCAGCACGAGGGCTGGAGTACGAAACTAACATATCAGGGAGAATTTAAGGAGCTTTGCACTACGTTTCAGAGATGCTGGTCGCAAGCCTCGCTGAATACGCTAATCTTAAAGCTTGAAAGATAAAATAAAGATGACTTAAGTCGACACTTTCACTTTATGTTTGGCATACATTGGTATGAGCTGGCCGTCTTCGATTTCAACTCGACTATGTGTTACACGCATCACTCTCTAATGACGTCACCCGCTTTTGACGCGCTTAAAAGCTCCCTTGTTTACAAGCCATCAGTATCTCACCAAGCGTGCCAAGCGACATAGATTACGCACCGCTCTCTGACGGCAGGCCTTGGTGTGCGCACCATCCTTCCTTTGAAGCTCCTGATGTGAACACTGCCCTGTTGTGGAAGGGTTGGTGCGCACACCATCCTGCCACTGAAGTTCCTGATGTAAACACCGCCCTATTGTGAAAGGGTTGGTGTGCGCACCGTCCTGCCACTGAAGCTCCTGGTGTAAACACCGCCCTATTGTGGAAGGGTTGGTGTGCGCACCATCCTGCCACTGAAGCTCCTGATGTAAACACCGCCCTGTTGTGGAAGGGTGGTGCGCACACTGTCCGCATACCTCTTGTCGGCAGCCTTAAACTGATGTGCATTCCAGCGACATGATTCCGAACCAATCAAGTGAAGCCCGTGTCGTGGGCGGTGTCGCCCTGTCCTGCCGGAGCCGCTCCTCGGTCCGATCAATCCCGTGAGGTCGTCCCAGGGCTGCCCAGACGGGTATCAGAGCGGTAGCGACGTAGCGTTCCGAGTTTGGGTTGGCAAGAAACTAAATCTCATTAAACAGACGTCTTCTGTACAGTCTGATTGGATGATTGTGAGATCAATCATGCCTGCCACGTTTCGCCATCTGATGGCCATTCGAACGTTGACGCGGTCTTGATTGTGCGATAAATGCTGTTTTCGCTGTTGTGTAAAACGTCGGTCAACTTTTATCTAAGTCATTCTGTGTAAACGGTAGTTTCACATGCACAGTTTTTAATTTCACATTTCTATATCTTCTTTGCGAATTTGATGTATGTCGAGCCGATAGCTGCATGAGTGGCGCAATAGAGATGCGTCACTCAATGCTTCGTGTATCCGTTCTCAAGGAAAAGAAGGAATACTTTAGCACGTTTCCGCTCACCCATGAACGTGGGTGAGCGGAAACCTATCGCAACACCCAATGTCCGTAACTACTGATGTGGCACTGCATGTTGTGCATAGCGCCCTGAAGCCTTGTGTTGTGGTGCCCGCGCCGCTCTCCTACCGACTTTGTTGGTGTTCCGCGCCACCCCTCACCAAATGTGTTGGTGAGCACGCCCTTCCTTTCATCGAATGTGATACTGTGCTCAGTTTCCCCTCGCCAAATGTGTTGGTGTGCGCGCCGCCCTCTTACCGAGTATACTGGTGGGCGCGCCTCCCTCTCACAGAATGCATTAGTGTGCGTGCCTCCCTCTCACCGAATGTATTATTGTGCGCGCCTCTCACCCATCGAACGCATTAGTGTGCGTGCCTCCCTCTCACCGAATGTATTAGTTGTGCGCGCCTCTCACCCATCGAATGCATTAGTGTGCGTGCCTCCCTCTCACCGAATGTATTGTTGTGCGCGCCTCTCACCCATCGAATGCATTAGTGTGCGTGCCTCCTTCTCACCAAATGTATTGGCGTGTGCGTCTCTCTCTCTCTCTCTCTCTCTCTCTCTCTCTCTCTCTCTCTCTCTCTCTCACTCTCACTCTCCTCCTCCTCTTCTCTCCTCCTCTCACTCTCATCTCTCTCTCTCTCCTCCCTCGCTCTCTCTCTCTCTCTATCTCCTCGTCCCCTCTCTCTCTCTGCTCTCTCTCTCTCTCTCTCTCTCTCTCTCTCTCTCTCTCACCCTCACCGAATGTGTTGGTGTGCGCGCTTCCGTGGCTGGGCGTGATGAGCCTCATGATGAAGTGGAACACGCTGCGGCAGACGTACAGCGGCCGCGAGCTGACCACGCCCGCCGGTGCGTTCGGGAACTCCACCTGCTCCGTGCGACGCACGTGGTTCAGGAAGGCGCGTGGCAGCTTGCGCTCCAGTGCCGTGTGCAGGTCCACCTGGCGGTCACAGTGCAGCCGGGACCATGGAGCGGCCCTGCCGGCTTTGTCGCGAGTCAAATTCAGGGCGCTCGCGCCAGCTCACGTTCACCTTGTGCAGGGCTGGGGCCCGGCTTGTTGAGTCATTGTGGTTGTGGTTAAGTGTGCGCTCCGACAAGACCTTGACCAAGATGAATGCTTGTTTTATGTAGGGGCAGTAAGCATTGTACGCACACTGGTAAAATCAATCCTCCTGTAACATTTCATGCTACGATCTAGGTGCAGTTAATTACGGGGTGTCATGGCCGAGGTCATCCCAACGTTGATGTTCGTCAGCGTTCCAATGCGGTCTTGAAGAAATGACCCTGCAAGATAATTTGTTATCTTAACGGAACGGAAAAGACAGACGAAACCATAGCCTGGGTCCTTCCGTGCGCGGAGTGAGAAAAGACACAGCGCACCCGTCTGGTACTTCTGGTGCTACGTCTGGTACTACTGAGCGTGCGTGCATGGCGCGCGTCACAGAAACGGCCGTGCCCTGCTCAGACTTGCACCGCTGGTGAAACAGCAGCAGCGCCGCTGGCGGTCACCGTCGGCGCCGGGGAGCGGCTGCACGCGCCGCCCTCCCACCGAACGCACCTGCATGGCTAGCCGCTTGAGCGCTGCGTTCTTCCTCACGGTCTCGATGTCACCGACGGCCAGGCCCACCAGCAGGTTCATCAGCAGGATCGGCATCATCACCATGAAGACTATCACCAGCAGGAAGGCGGAGTTGGCGAATGGCAGGAAGCGTCGACCGAGCACGCTGGAGGCACGAGACATTGGTCCGTCCGGGACCGCCAGCCAGCCCGGGCTGCTCACTCGCGTTGGTTTCGCCACACTGGGCGCATATCATGATCTGACATAGTGTCTGGGTGCTGGCAAACCAATGTATTGGAACCAGACTACCCTAAAGGGCAGACGAAAAGTGGATTATTGTATATGGCCTAGCCGGCCAAGGAGCAGCAGAGCAGGGGTGGGAGGCGCGGTGCATAATCATAAGCAGCAGGCAATAAACGCGGATGGTCATGACATTCATTTTCTACAAAGATTGCGCGGCTTCAAAGACTTGACCAAACAACGGAAGGAGGCATCCCGAGCAAAAGCTTTCGACAGTGCTGCATTAATAATAGCTGGGGAGAAGAATGTGTGCATAAGTTGAAGTTGCATCTAGCATATGTTCGACTCCGCAGGTGTCCGGACCGTGCACATGCACGCCAATATATGAAGAAAGCTATAGAGACGTTGACACACTAATGATGGCCGAAAAAAACAAAGGAGAATAGCGTCTTGTTCATGGCAGGAACAGCATAACAAATATCACTCACATGGAAGACGCGTCATTCGAGTGGGAACAGAAGGCAATAATGCAAGCTCACTGACCTGCTGCCGCTGGGGTTGTCCCGGTGACCGCTGTCGACCACCGGGGCGGGGACAGCTTACTGACCTTCTGCCGCTGGGGTTGTCCCGGTGACCGCTGTCGACCACCGGGGCGGGGACAGCTTACTGACCTGTCGCCGCTGGGGTTGTGACAGTGACTGCTGTCGACCACCGGGGCGGGGATAGCTTACTGACCTGTCGCCGCTGGGGTTGTGACAGTGACCGCTGTCGACCACCGGAGCGGGGACAGCTTACTGACCTGCTGCTGGGGCTGCTACGGCGACCGCCGCCGGCCACCGGAGCAGACGAGTCGCTGGTGGTGTTGTTCGGCGACGGCGTCAACCACGGGTATACATACACCGTCAGAAAGTCGATCTCGCCGAGCATCATGTTGAAGGTGCGGGAGATGGCGACCGGCAGGCTGCTGAACTCCGGGTGATTGCCCTGTGGACAGGGCGAGAGCTCTCGCACCGCGGCAGGGGCTGGCCGTCGGGTCACACGCCGGGTCACACGCCGATTCATATGCCGGGTCACGCGCCGGGTCGCGCGCCGAGTCACAAGCCGGGTCACAACCTGGGTCACAAGCCGGGTCACGAGCCGGGTCACACGCCGAGTCGCACCCCGCGTCACACGCCGGGTCACACGCATCGCCCGGTCGGTCTGCAGGGCCTCGTCGCTAAAGTCGGCTGTGTGTATCGTAGTGAAGACAGTAAAACGGCCTCAAAGTTAAAAAGTCCCTTGGGCTCCAATCCCGCTCTGAATACTAAGGGAGTCTAGGAACTATTCAGGAGCTTTTTGGCCGCTTAGAACTATCAGTGTGTCAGGGCCTCTGACCATGCGTGGGCCGTGTAACCGCTCAGGGCCGTCTGGCCACTGAGGGTGCCTTCAGGTCACTGAGGAGCCTCTGGTCTCGTCGCCTGACTCCCAGGACTTAACTGGCCGACCAGGGTCACCCCTGACCCCTCCGGTCACCGACGAGCAGCCCTGATTATACAGGGGCTCTTATGGCCGCCAAGTGCCTGGCTGGCTCCTAAGGCTAAAAGACCGTTCAATCGCCAGCAATTTGGCTATATTGTCACGCCCCTCTGAACACTTGGGTTTGTTCCGCCCAGTGACAGTTTGGACGCTCAGAGGCCCTCCTACCGCCAATAGCTCTTCTACCAGCTCGTCGACCCTTTAAATGCAGTGCGCATTTCATCTGCACTGCTGCGTCGGTTGTTCAGTAATCACTTGCATCCAATGCGTACATATTCCCAGCGTCCAGCGCCGAACTGGACCAGGGACAGCTTTCGTCACATGCTGCAAACTTGGCGGCATTAATCTATGTCACTTTGCTGTAAGATCTCAAGTTCTTCATGGAGATCGAGGATGCAGCCTAAAGCATGTCACATGGGAATGAACGGATCTTCGTACAACTGCACGCGCGTGGCTCACATCAGAGCCATGGCGTTGGCTGGCTCACTGGCGTGGGAAATCCGAGATAGTCGGGCACGTTGTCACCGAAAGAAGTCCGCGTGGCTGGAATATTGTAATATTTGTGATGCACCACTGAGCCGCTCAATAGTCGGCAGGCGTCTCTCTGCTGCCCATCCCTACATTCCGCCGAGAGCCGAGTACCACCCGAACTGTCACCGTGCATAAACGACAAATAATTTTCGACGTCATGGATGCGAGAGCAAAATATGCATGCGACCAAAAAACGTACAAAAAAGATAAATTTCCCATTTCACTGTGCAGCTTCTACCATTTATTCACTCCTTGTTCAAGCTGTTATTATTGGTTGCGGACATTGTGACAGTATGGGGAGTACACCTACCAACACTCAATTCGCAAGATGGGGACAGCTCTACCGTTTAGGCTCTCAGGATGTCGACGAACCCCTGGCTAGGAGTGACGGGGTCCAAATTTTTTTAGGAACTATGGGGCGTTATTACAGGTTTATGTGGGTGCCTAAGGTTCACGTGGGTGCCTAAGGTTCAAGTGGAGCTGGTTTGTACCGCGCATTGCACTTTTATTAGTTGTTGGTGTTAAAGATGCGTGACGCGAACAAACTGTTTAGCGGCGGCTTCAGCCGCTACCGAATGCTTACACAGAGGCTGGACGCCATATTTTCTGCGCGTTCGACGCTGGCAACGTACCGGCAGCAGCCCAGGCACATGGCTGCCGGCATGGATGCGAGGAGATTTGGCCGCAACTGAGCTGGTTCCGGCTTTTTGCGCATTCAACATGAGAAGCAAGCCCTGAGACCGGCGCATACCGGCGTTGCCAGCACAGACATCGATCCAGTGCCGCTGGTAGTGATGCAGTACCTGCTGCCGGTGTCACAGTGCTCAAACCCTGCACGCATTGGCTAATGCGGGCCATCTTCAGCTTACGTGGGACATGAGGATGAAGAAAGCCAAGCCGAAGGCAATGATAAGCACCGAGAAGATGACGAGTACTCTTAGGAGTGTTTTCTGTATTTCGACGAACATCACCACGTAGATGCCGATCGACTCAAAACTGCAATCAAAGGGAAAGTTCAGGGAATGTTTTTTATTAGAGTAAAAAACACGGTCGTCGCGACTATGGATGATATATGGAAAGTGCACCAGCAAACCATGCTCTGATTTGCACCTGATAACCGGATTTTTATCTTGCAAGGAAAGTAACCGAATGCACATTGACGCAATTGGATCAGATTTTTAAAAAGCTGACATCTAATGTGATCACATGTGACACACCAACACTCTCACACACCAACTAACACACTCACATAAACGTCGTATAGCACATACATTATGTGATCATTTTTCGAACTATGCTCCTCGTCTGGTGCGTCGGGATCTACACCACGTTTCCACCAGTCATTTATCCAGCCGTCGTCAGGCGTTATTGAGTACTGAAGGGAACTGAATGGCATTTGGCTTTCAACCACATAAGCGTTGCAAACGAGATCTTTTCTGAGGGGCTGCTGATACTAGAACTGGTTGGTTCTCAAGTTACAAGTTAAGCGGCATAACTTCTGAGATTTCGGGAACAGCGCTGAAGTCGAAGTGTTCGACTCGGAATCAGGACGCCCGAGTTTACATCCCAGCAGTTCCAGAAAATTTGGGCTGGGACGTACTCATGGTTGAGTGTCAAACACCATTCAACCCTCCTCAGGACTCAATGACACGTGACGACTGTCAAACATCTGACAGGTCGAAACGTTATGTGCATACTAATACGCCAGACAAGGACGATAGTTCGAACAATTCTTATATTCCTAATTCTACAGCATTGCCCTAGTCATTCCGTAAAACCACAATATACTTCATGGCGCACCTCCACCAAAGGAGTCTTGTACACAATGCACAAATCGACCTCAACAGCCATCGCCAGTTGAGAGATTATGCGGGGCGTCTTTCCACCGCTTGCCCAGCCTACCACATGCCTACAAGAGCGATTCGGAGATGTGTTGTCAGTTCTCGTTACCTCCTCAGGTAGAGCAGCATGTTGAACCAGGCAAGAAAGACGGAGGCGGCGGCGGCGATGATGTGGAAGTGGTTCATCACCGGGTAGAAGACAGGCGTCACGCTGACCAGGGCCGACATGTACAGCGACAGCTCCAGGTAGTTCTCAAAGTCTGACGGCCGACATACGTGATGGTATGGCGTGTGCGCTCGCAATTATGTATTGCAAGTTCGCAATGATTAATGGCTGTGGTTGCAACAATCAAGTCCTCCGCACCCCTCGATGGATGACGGAATGTCAAGAACTGTCCAAGTGACACGATGCATCACGATATCCCACCAAGCTGCCCGTTTAGTTAGATAGAAAATATGATCTTATCAACATCTGTTCACCTGGCCGTATAATACACTGAACGTTGAATTATCCGGCGTCGACACATCAGCACATTACCGTGTTGGGCCAGATTTGGCCCATCGCAACGGAAAAAAATCCGGTATCATGGTTTGTTCACGTCATCGTACTTTGCACAGAGTTGGTTGAGAGCAAATTGAAGGCCGTTATATCTGGAAATCGCACACGCGAATGCCAGATATGAGCGCCTCGACAATTATATTTTTATTGGTCTTGATAGCCGCACGGCTGATGGAATGGCAGGATTTGAATGACGTCATGATGACGTCATGAATGCTGAGGTGGCTCGAAATACTCTCTCCGACACACCTTTCTCAGCCTCATATAAATGTAAAACACTTTTAAAATGCTGTCTCTTACATAAGTAAAGAATAGTTTTCATTTCCTGGTGTTTCGCCACCATGAGCTGATAATTATCATGCTTAAAATGAACCACCTTTACTTCACCAGAAATTACTCGTAGAGCAACGATCGTTAACATGAAATGGTTCTATTGACAAAAATCACCAACAAAACTGAAAAATTCACTGTGTTTTATCACTATAACTGTTCCTTGTTTGTTACCGCCTTTCAGCCAAGTACCTCTTAATAAACTAAAGGCCAATTATTGTCAACGTTAAAAACTTCCAACTCATGTGTTTCTTGGGGTCTCACTTGCGCACTTAAATTTAATGGTAATGCATGGTGAGCGACCATTCAACTGTGGCGACTTACCAACAACGAAGCCCCATCCCTGGTTGTACATTTGCACGACCTTCTTCGCCAAGTTCAGGACTCCGAACACAATGACAGCAATCATGGTTATATGCCCTGCCACCGATGGGCCCGTTGGTACGAACGCCTGGAAGTGTAAAGAAACCGTAAGATAATCCAACAATGCATTGCTTGCGCGATAAGGCAGGGGCCATGTAAGACAAACAAAATCACGAACACCAAAGAAACTGTAATGTAACCGGGATAACAGGTACGCATTCTTGTCAAGGTGCTTGCTGCAACTGCTTGCATGGGTTATAGGGCCAACAATTGGGCATACATATTGTTGTGTATATGTCGCAGCGTGTGCCCGCCGCAATGTCTCACTCCGGCTGCTCGGGGCGTGGATCAAGGAGAGGAAAGTGTATCGAGGGGGTCTTATTTGAAATCCAGCGGAGTACCCGTTTGTTCCATCAGCTGATCCACAATGCCGGTCAGATAGCTGGTCTGAAGAGTCTTCCAGCGGTGGACAGAGAGCTGAAGATCGCCGCAGCGAAAATGTCAGGATGGCATTGTGGCGGACAATGCAGGAGGTGGATGATACTCAGATAATCATCGCGAGCCATGGACTCGGCAGCTTTGTGTCATTTTTTATGTCAGATATCGGTCACCAAAGGCGGTAAAAGCAGAACAACAACATGGTTGGGGTAAAGTATCGTTTCCACAACATTAGACGGGCTCAACACAGTCCAACCGATGGCAACACCAATCGCCGCTCAGGGAAATGATCAACACCGCCTTTATGGCACCCGGTTTCGAATATCACACAATGGTGCCCGCAGCACGAAAGAAATGGACCAGGAACACTTCAGAAAATCTCGTCTAGCTTATTTTAAGCGTTGAACATCCGAAGATGCTTATTTGTCATATTTTGGTAACAGTCGCCGTACATGTGAGTCATTGCAATTGATCGGTTTTGCCCATCGGCACGGGCACAACAATTGCGAGGTAGTAGTTGTGTATTCCGTACAGTTCGGACCATCAGGGCCGTGGCGCCCGCCCCAGGGTCTTGCATTCGCCACCAGTCTGTGTCGTACCTGGGAGCGTCCGTCACAGCCCCTGGCACCGGCACGAGGCGGGGCTGCGTCCTCGCTGGCGAGGTCGACGCTGCCGCCGTCCTCCAGCAGCACGGCGCACTTGCGCACCAGATGCATGAGGTTCATGCCGTGCACGGTGACGAGGATGACGAAGGCGGCGTACAGCAGCAGCGACAGCAGGTGGCAGAAGCGGCCGTACGCCTGCCACTTCATCTCCAGGTACTTCTGGGTCAGCGGGTGCATGAGCAGCTCGATGCGGCCGTGGCGCACCATGTGCTGCCGGACCACACCAGACGGGCCTCATCCAACAGAGCGGCGCCGCTGCACAGCCCAGAGCGGGCGGGGAAACGCACCATGTGCTGCCGGACCACACCAGACGGGCCTCAGCCAACAGAGCGGCGCCGCTGCACGGCACAGAGCGGGAGGGGAACGCACCATGTGCTGCTGGACCACACCAGACGGGCCTCAGCCAACAGAGCGGCGCCGCTGCACAGCCCAGAGCGGGCGGGAAACGCACCATGTGCTGCCGGACCACACCAGACGGGCCTCAGCCAACAGAGCGGCGCCGCTGCACGGCACAGAGCGGGAGGGGAACGCACCATGTGCTGCCGGACCACACCAGACGGGCCTCAGCCAACAGAGCGGCGCCGCTGCACAGCCCAGAGCGGGCGGGGAACACACCATGTGCTGCCGGACCACACCAGGCGGGCCTCAGCCAACAGAGCGGCGCCGCTGCACGGCACAGAGCGGGCGGGGACCGTACCGGTCTTGGATGATAGACGCCCGTCCTATTCCCAGCGAGTTACGGCGGGAGGAAGGGACAATGTCGGCCGGCGCACATTACGGCGCATCAAGAATGTGCTTCTTATCGCAGAACACGCCGCCAGAACAATAACTTTGTTCCATCTGGCAAGCAAAAAGGGATGAAAACTTGAAATTCATGTTTCTCACCACTTCTCGTCGGAAAATTGCAATTCAATAGTTGATGAAAAGTTTCAAATGACTACTCATCGGTTGGGAATTCCACAATATGTTTGCTGTAGTTATGCAGCGCATTCCCTTCCTCTCAGTTTTTGATGGCTGCCCAGTTTCGTCTTTGGTCCAGATCCGCCCTGGGAAGTGACCTGTGCAAGCTATACTCAGATAACTAAAGACATTCGTAGGCATGAATTAATGGAACGGTGCTAGCGATCAGTAATTACGCTTTCGAACAATTAATAACTTGCGTGACTGGCGTGTTTAAGGACAGGCGCATCACGGCTGGTGTTTGATTGCCAATGTGTAGGATGCATGCCTAAATGTCATAGGGGTTGTTGACGGAAAGGTCAGGTGCATTGGCGCGTTACACACTGAAGGGAAAACACTAGGATTATTGGTGTTAGTCAGCCGCTTTTAACATAAGACACTGCGATATGTTGGTGATAAATGATTTGATACATTAGTGGCCGCGATACATGGCGGGTGCTGTAGGTGTGGGATGCTATGGATGCTAACTGCTATGGTATGTTGGTGGTGACGGAAGTAATTGTTACGTTACGGACATGGCATGGTACTAATGACACTTTTTTAGCTTCAGGGGCTCGGTCCGGCCCGGCCTAAGCAGTCATGCTTTTCAGGGGCGTGCATCTTTTCAGTGATTGATGGTACTGTCCGAGTAAACTGAGTAGAGTAGTAAAGAGTGCTGAGGAATGATGTCAGACAGGACCAGAAACAGCCAGAGAGTCAACAACGCAAAACCATCGGTGTAATTAGATGGATGTACCGTCTACTAAGTGCTGAGTGGGTTCAACTACGTCAGTACCCCCATAGAAACGCCAGCTTTTCACAGAAGGGACAAGGCCATCTTTTTGAAACTCGATTCTGAGTGTTGCACTGTGAACCCTTACCCGAAAGGCAGGTCCATGCAAACTAAACAGGCGTTTACCCCGTACAAATCCGACTCTGGTACATGACCCACAAGCGAGTCTGAGGAAGAGAACCAGTGAAGGGCGCCTGGTTTCTGTTAAAGGGTCACTGCTACGCAACAACGGCCAGTGCATGGGACGCTGACCCTGGTGTGTAGGCATTTCCGCCATAGTGAAACGAGTGCTGGGATTATGGCAGCCTGGAAATGCGGCCATTCGTGTGTGGGCCAAATCAGCGTGCACTATTGATCGCCACAGCTCGGACTCCGCCGAGGTAGGAAGGACCACGGTAAACCGTACTATCCAGACGGCGCTCGGTGTTCTTAGCATTCTCCAAGGAAAAAACGAAAGCATATTAGTTACTTTACCGAGGCTGTAGCCGCAGCATCGCACAGCTGACATTGCGTGCGACTTTTGTGGAACTTAACACTCGGCCGCAGCTTGCTGAGATCACTGTCAGGCACAGTCCACCGGGCGGCGTTCCGTCTGTACCCCACCGTGTCGGCTCATATAGTCAGCGATCTACGTAAGAATTGTGTGCTCTCTCTCTCTCTCTCTCTCTCTCTCTCTCTCTCTCTCTCTTCTCTCTCTCTCTTCTCTCTTCTCTCTCTCTCTCTCTCTCTCTCTCTCTCTCTCTCTCTCTCTCTCTCTCTCTCTCTTTCTCTCGTTCTCTCTCTCTTTTCTTTCTCCCTCTCTTTCTCTCGTTCTCTCTCTCTCTCTTTCTCCCTCTCTTTCTCTCGTTTTCTTCTCTCTCTCTCTCTCTCTCGCTCTCATCTCTCTCTCTCTCTCTATCTATCTCTATCTCTCTCTCTCTCTCTCTCGCTCTCTCTCTCTCTCTCTCTCTCTCTCTCCCCCTTTTTCTCCCATGTCAATAACGATTTCGCTGATCTGAGATGTCGTCAATATCTGCTGGTTTCATAACCCAGAAAAATAAATGTTCAGGGATAGCGCGCTGCAAATGATAAGTCATCAGTAGGTAAGGCCGTTGTATTTCGACGTGTGTAAAATTAGTTGTTGACTTGAAGGTCTGCTCGCGCAGGTCTCTTATTCCGGTGACGGACGGACGTCAGAAAAAAAAAAACTGGGCATGAGAAAAAGTGTGAGGTATTACATATTAAATGTCGCTCAAATTGGGTTCAAAGACGGCGAGTCATTGCACTGTGAGCACGCGTAAGTTATCTTTGCAATTAGGATAAACAATGAAGTTGCAATCGTTGAGCCACCGATTGCATATTTGGCTTGGATGGCTTTACGAGCCATTGTGCTATCGTATCGTCAGCCGCCAGCCGTCAGCCGTCGGGGTCAGCTGGCGGTCGTCAGCCGTCGGAGTCAGCTAGCGGTCGTCAGCCATCGGGGTCAGCTGGCGGTCGTCAACCATCGGGGTCAACTGGCGTCGTCAGCGGCGACTCACGTTGACAGCGGTGAGCGGCTGTGGTCGCCAGCGGGAGTCGGCCCTCGTCGCGCGGATCGACGCCACCTGCTGCGCGCTCGGCTCGAACAGGCTCAGGTCGTACGTGATCTGAACGGCCGGCCACCGGGGATGGCAGCGCGCAGACACAGCTGATCGACATGCAGGAGACACGTGTGTCGGCAGG